GAATGTGGTTGCTAATACAAATGAGCTTCCCCAGGTCATGAGGCATCTATTATGTGGACAGATGGATGACTCGCTGTGGAACTGGGCGGGCTTTCAAGGGGAATTTCATTGCTGCAGTTATGTTTCAGGCTTCCCTTCAGAGAAGGACTTTTTCCCATGAATGACTTAATAAGAAAGATAACAATAGCCAGCACAGTCAAGGTGCCTGACAAAGTACAAAAGGATTAACCCATGGAATCCTCACGACAGCTCATGAGGCCAGTACCAATCCCCAAAGTGCTAAGGCTCAGAGGGGTAAAACAACTTGCCTGTTGGATGCACAGCAAGTGAGGAAGAGAGTTGGGATTTTGGCCCTGGTCTCTTACTCCAGAGCTTGGGCTCTTCATACACAGCCTCCTTTCTCTCTTTAGTACTAACTTTCAAACAATATTTTATTAATTTGCACATGGTACATTATTTAAAAGTAAAAAAAGTCAACTTCCTTCCCATCCCTGAACCCTCCATTGAAGCAGCCACTGTGACCTGTCTCCTTTTAGAAAGTGTCTACATACATCAAATACATCAACATAGTGCCATGTTGCCTGTTTTTGTATGGTCCAGGAACTAAGAATAGTGTTTGCATTTTTTAGTGGTTAAAAAAAGTATTTCATGGCATGTAAAATTGTATGAACTTTAGGTTTTAGTATCCATGAATAAAGTTTTATTGGGGCACAACCATCCATGCTCACTCAGTTATGTATTATCTGTGGCTGCTTTCACACTATAATAGCAGAGTTGAGTGGTTGCAACCAAGACCATATGGCCCCCAAACTTAAAATATTTACTTTCTGGCCCTTTACAGAAAAAGTTTGCTGATCCCTGCAGTGCACACTTTCTTTCAGCACTATTTCTTAGAGCACTTTTCTTGCACTGGTGGCTGTGTTCTCTTCCTCCTCAACCATTAGTTTTATTTCATGGAAACAGAGCCCAGCTGCAAGCTGAGGTACAAGCCTAGGTGGGTTGCTTGGTGCATCTACTCACGTTCATTTTAAGCATTTCTCAGTCACTAGCTGCGTGCTGGCATCTGGCTGGCAACCAGAGCAGGTCTAGGCCTGCCGTCAGGAATCCACAGGCCAGTGGGAGATTTGGACAATATCCTACAGTCCCACAGATGGATGCATTCAGGTCTACAATCACAAGCCTTCTCTGACCCTCTGCCATTACCCCTGCTTTGTTTTTTCTTGTGATACTTTTTTAAAAATAGGTAATGCATTAATGTGCTTCAAAAATCAATTCTCTGTGTGTGCCTATGCACGTGCATGCCTGTGTGCATGTGTATAGATGTACACACTGGCAGGTCTCTCTTACCCCTTCCCCTGCCCACCTTGTTCCTCTTGAGTAATCATTTGTATTAGTTTCTGGCATATCCTTCTAAGGTTTAAAAAAAAACCCACAAATATCTATTATCTATTTTTATCTTCCCCTCCTTTTACAAAATGTAGCCTATTCCACACCCTGTCCTGCACTTTGCTTTTTAAAATTTTTATTATTTATTTAACAGCACATCTTGGAGCTCTCTCTTTATCCAGCTGAGTGGCTTCTTCCAGAGCGCAGGGAAGGTCTGTGAGGCTAAAACAAGGGAGGAGGATCTGTTCTAGCTGCGAGGGATCATGGCCTTGATTCTCAGCTCTGTTTCCTTCCATGCCCTGCTTTTCTCTGTGGTAAGGTACATATGGCCTTTATCACATGTGGCCAAGGAGAGGACAAGAATGTCCTTGAGAGCGGGTGATTTACTGTGGTTAATAATGAAAGAAAATTGACCTGCAACCTGTTTCCATGAGTCATGATCTGGTGTCTGGTGGAGGCCCCTTTAGTCTCCACAGTTCTTACCAATCATGTGACAAGTCCTGTCACCTATTTCCTTTTCACTGGACACAGTAACACACACACTGACTGCACTTAGTTCCAGGTTGCCACATAGTAAATGCTCAATGTGTGGCAGGGATGGCTTTGGTTATTTTCACAGGACTGGCCTGGGCTCATACTTGTAAGTGTAGCTAACAATGAAGAGTCTCAGAGAGTCTGATCACTTGGGTTCTAATATCCCCTCTGCCACTTAAAATCCATGTTGGGCAAGGTGCTTACTTTGTATACTTGACTTCTGTTATTGTAAATGGAGATAATAATACCTGCCTTTTGGTCCTTTGCTGAGGAGGAAATGAGTTAACATTTGTATTGCATTTAAAACAGTGCGCAGCAGGTAGTGACATGAATGGATGCCAGCTATTTTTATCAGTCTGTGTAGTAGACTCAGGGGAACTCAATGCCCCTGAAGGCTATGCCACCTCCATTTCAGAACAGTACCCATCATTAGCAGTAGCATTTCACCTTTTCCAAAGAACTCCTTCCTGCAATACCTGGAGCAAAGCGTTGTCTATTTAGTCAAGAATTATAATGCCAACAGACTCACTCCCCTTTATGTGTCATTGGCCATGTAAAGTCACATGACCATTCTTAACTACAAAGAAGGCTGGGAAATCAAAAATTTTCCCAATTGTCTCTCCTAGTAGAACAAAAAAATGATCACAGGCGTGTTCAGTAAATATTTGCAAGCACACAAATCCATTTACCAATCTAGCCATCACAAGGGGCTCTCCTCTCAGCATTTGTAGGAAGTGACCCATGGAATGTGGCAAAGCAACTGGCCACCAACCTGAAGTGCTGGAAGCAAGCTTGTGAGGGACACAGCTCTAAAGTCTTTTGAATTGTATCTAAACGGGAAACAATTAAACCTCCTAGATCAGTGATGGCGAACCTTTTGAGCTCGGCGTGTCAGCATTTTGAAAAATCCTAACTTAACTCTGGTGCCGTGTCACATATAGAAATTTTTTGATATTTGCAACCATAGTAAAACAAAGACTTATATTTTTGATATTTATTTTATATATTTAAATGCCATTTAACAAAGAAAAATCAACCAAAAAATGAGTTCTTGTGTCACCTCTGACACGCGTGTCATAGGTTCGCCATCACTGTCCTAGATCAAAGTTTTGAGACAGGCTCTGGGACCTGGGCCTAGAGCAGCCAGAGGAAGGTTGCAGAACTGGTTTCTTCAGGCAGGTTTGTTTACCTGCTTGCCTGCCTATTGAATAATCCCATTGGCTGCCAAGGCCTTCCAGGTCCTTTCCTCCCTTAGACTGGCTTCTTTCTGCAGGTGGCTGGATCCCCTAGGGCCAGCAAGTGCCTACTTTGTGTCAGATGCTGTCCAGGGTGCTAGAAACAATAAACCATACCTTGGAAATATTTCGGGTTTGGTTCCAGATCACCACAGTAAAGCTAATTCCTAATGGTGCTGATGGAGGGTCTTGCCTTCAATTTGTAAGAAAAGTAACAACTGTGAAATGCAGTAAAGTGAAGCACAATAAAACAAGGTATACCTGGCTGGCCAGTGTTGTTCAGTGGTTATGGTGTAGACCAGTGGTTCTCAACCTTCCTAATGCCGCGACCCTTTAATACAGTTCCTCATGTTGTGGTGACCCCCAATTTCATTGTTACAAATTGAACATAATTAAAGCATAGTGATTAATCACAAAAACAATATGTAATTATATGTGTGTTTTCCGATGGTCTTAGGTGACCCCTGTGAAAGGGTCGTTTGACACCCAAAGGGGTCGCGACCCACAGGTTGAGAACCGCTGGTGTATACTCATGGACCGAAGTGTCATGGGTTTGATTCTGGGTATGTGTGGGAGGCAACCAATCGATGTGTCTCTCTCTCTCATGGATGTTCCTCACTCTCTCTCTACCTCTCTTTCCCTTCCTCTCTCTTTCTCTCTCCCCCTTCCCTCCCTTTCTCTTTTACCCCTTTCCCCCTTCCTCCCTCCCTTCCACTCTGTCTGAAAATCAATGGAAAAAATGTCCTCTGGCGAGGATTAAAAAACCAAGGTATACATGTAATATGTAACATTTATTGGGCACTCACCATGTGCCAGCCATTGCAAGCAGTTGGCATAACTCATGGAATCCTTTCAAATCTTTGTTAGACCCATTACAGATGTGGGGAGTGAGGGGGAGTCTAAATTTTTTAAAAACCCTTATTTTACATAAAGTTCAATTTTTTTAAATTATGAATATTTGTTATTTCAGTATAATATGAGCCTTTTCATTGGTGTCTTATTTTGTTAGCCTGCTTTTTAAAAATAAAAAAAAAAAACAGCTTCACTTTTTAGAGTAATTTTAAGTTCATAGCAAAATTGAAGGGAAGTTATAGAGATCCCCCATATATCCCCACTAATGCATAGCCTCCCCCATTATTTTTTTAAATCTTTATTGTTTAAAGTCTTACATATATCCCCATTTCTCCCCCCCCCATTAACCTCTTCTAGCCCACCTCTGCCTCCCCCATTATTAACATCCCCCACCACAGTGGTACATTTATTACAATTGATGAACCTGAGTTGACACATCGTTATTGCCCGGAGTTTATAGTTTACATTGCAACTCACTCTTGATGTTGTACATTCTATAAGTTTGGACAAATGTATATTGACATGTATCCACCATTATGGTATCATACAGAATATTTTCACTGCCCTAAAAATCCTGTGTGCTCCACGTATTCATCCCTCTTCCCCTCAACTCCTGGCAGCCACCAATCTTCTTACTGTCTCCAAAGTTTTATCTTTTCAAGAATATGTAAAGATACACTTTGTAGTTTTTTTAGATTGGCTTCTTTCACTTAGTGATAAACATTTAAGGTTCCACCATGTCATTTCATGGCTTGAAAGCTCATTTTCTTTCTTTGTCGGAATGCACCACAGTTTATCCATTCACCTACTGAATGACATCTTGGTTGCTTCCAAGTTTTGGCAATTACGAATAAAGCTGCTATCAACATCTGTGTGCAGGTTTTTGTGTTGACATAGTATTCAACTCATTTGGGTACATATCAAGGAGCTTGATTGCTGGATCATAGCATGAGTATGTTTAGGCTTGTAAGAAATTGTCAAACTTTCTTCCAGAGTTTCTGTACCATTTGGCATTCCCACCAGCAGTGAATGAGAGTTCCAGTTGCTCCACCCCCTCGTCAGCATTTGGTGTTGTCAGTGTTCTGGATTTGGGGCATTCTAAAAGGTGGGTAGTGGTAGCTCATTAATGTTTTAATTTGCATTTTCCTGATGAAGTATGATGTGGAGCATCTTTTCATATGCTTATTTGCCATCTGTAAATCTTTTTTGGTGAGATGCTGGTTAATGTCTTTGGCCCTTTTTTAAATTGGATTGTTTTTTTCCTTGTTAAATTATAAGAGTTCTTTGGATATTTTGGATAACAGTCCTTTATCAGATGTGTCTTTTGCAAATATTTTCTTCCAGCCTGTAGTTTGTTTTCTCATTCTCTTGACATTGTCTTTCACAGAGTAGTTCTTAATTTTAATGAAGTCTACTTATCAATTCTTTCTTTCATGGAGTCATAGCTATGCCCAAGGTCATCTAGGTTTTCTCCCATGTTATCATCTAGTTTTTTAGTTTTCCACTTTACATTTAGGACTATGAAACATTTTGAGTTAACTTTTGTGAAAGATGTAAGGTCTATCTATGTCCAGATTCATTTTTTTTGTACATAGATGTCCACTTGTTCCAACACCATTTGTTGAAATATTAATTTGCTTCATTAGCATTGCCTTTGCTTCTCAGTCAAAGAAGAATTGACTATATGTGTATCTGCTTCTGGGCTTTTTATTCTGTTCCAGTGTTCTATTTGCTCATTCTTTCATTAATACTTGATTACTGTAGCTTTATAGTAAGTCTTGAAGTCAGGTAGTGTCAGTCCTCTGACTATCCTCCTTTAATATTGTGTTGACTATTCTGGGTCTTTTTCCTCTTAAAATAACTTGTTGTGAGTTTCACTGGGATTGTCTTGAATCTGTAGATCAAGTTGGGAAGAACTCATATTTTGAAAATGTCGAATCTTACTATTTTTGAACATGGAATGTCTTTCCATTTATTTAGTTTTTCTTTGATATCTTTCATCATAGTTTTATAGTTTGTCCATATAACTCTTTAAAATTTTTTAATTGATTCCAGAGAGAGAGAATCATTGATTGGCAGCCTTCTGCATGCCCCACAATGGGATCAAGCCCACAACCCAGGCATATGTCCCTACTGGAAATCTAACCATAACTTCCTGATTCATAGGTCAACCACTGAGCCACACCAGCTAGGTGCTCATATAACTCTTATACATATTTTGTTAGATTTATACCTAAATATTTCATTTTGGAGGGTGTTAAGGTACATGGTTTTGTGTTTTTATTTCAAATTCCACTTATTCATTGTTGGTATATAGGAACATTATTGACTTTTGCTAATTAACCTGTATTTTACAATCTTGCCGTAAGTGCTTATTTTATCTTTATTTATAGATTTTGAGGGGTGGGGAGACACAGAGAAACATCAATTTGTTATTTCACTTATGCATTCATTGGTTGCTTCTGGTATGTGCCCTACTGGAGATTGAACCCGCAACCTTGGCATAGTGGGACAACTCTAACCAACTGAGTTACTCAGCCAGAGCCTATAAATGCTTATTAGTTGCAGGAGTTTATTGTTTTCAAGTCTTTAGGATTTTCTACATAAGTGATCATGTCATCTGCGAACAAAGACAGCTATATTTCTTCTCTCCCAATCTGTATACCTTATTTTTCCTTTTTGTTTTGTTTTGTTTATTGAGTTAACTAGGACTTCCAATACAATGTTGCAGCAATTTTCAACCATGTGCTACAAGAATTTTTTTTAAAGAGGGCACTGCCCTCTTTTTTCTTAGATTGTCAAATTTAAAAAATGACAACAGCCAATGCAACAATAGCTATCTGGTGTAAATGAATAAAAATTATACCTTTTTTTTGTCAATTCAGCAAAAAAAAAATTTTTTTTGGTGTGCCATAGAATTTTAGTAGTTTATGTATGCCATGAGATGAAAAAGGTTGAAAATCACTATGATGTTGGAATGCAGTACTGAGAGAGGACATCCTTGCTTGTTCCTGTTCTTAGAGGGAAAGTTTCAAACTTCTCACCATTGCCTTTTTACTTATTAGTTCCCTAAGCCAAACATTTGGAGACCAGGGGCCTTGCATCCACTTCCCTCAGCCCAGTCGTGACCATGCAATCGGTTTTTAAAATATGAATGAATGACTCATGTGGTACCATAAACAGCTAAATAGACTTACTTACAATATCTTCTGAGCAGATGTCAAATCAGGGTTAGAGAGGCAGCAGAGGCTGGTGATTAAAAGAAGACTCTGGAGCCACAGGTTGGGGCTACTCTGCTACTTACTTAATAGGTAACCTTAGGTAAGGGATAGCACCTCTCAAAACCTCAGTTTTCTCATATGTGAAGTGGGGATAATAATAGGAGCTATTCTACGGGGTGGTTGTGAGGGTTAAATGAGTTGGAGTTAAAAAAAAAAAGAATCCCCTTAAAGGAGAAAAAATAAATAATAAGGAAAGAGACAAGAAAGAAAAAGAGAGGGGGGCGCAGAAAGGAAGGGAGGGAGGGAGTGAGGGAAGGAAAGAAAGGAAGGGAAGGGAAGGTGGAAGGGAAGGTGGAAGGGAAGGGAAGGGAAGGGAAGGGA